AAGACTCTATCAAAAAACTCCTAGAGCTGCTTAAAAATTTCAGTAATGTTGCAGGATACAAAATAAATGCTCCTAAATCAGCTGCATTTATATTTTCCAATAATGAGCTAACAGAAAGAGAAATCAAGAAAGTAAGCCCATTTACAAAGTCACGCACACACATAAAAATATCTAAGAATCAATTTAACCAAGGAGGTGAAAGATCTCTACAATGAGAACTACAAACCACTATTGAAAGAAATTAAAGAAGACACAAAAAGATGGAAAGACACTCCATGCTTTTGGATTGAAAAAATTAACATTGTGAAAATGTCTATACTACCCAAAGCAATCTACAGATTCAATGCAATCCCCATCAAAATACCAATGACATTCTTCACAGAAATGGAAAAAACAATCTCAGCATTCATATGGAACAACAAAAGACCCCAGATAGCCAAAGCAATCCTGAGCAAAAATAAATAAAGCTGGAGGCATAACACTACCTGACCTCAAATTATACTACAAAGCTACAGTAACTCAAACAACATGGTACTGGCATAAAAATAGACACTCAGACCAGTGGAGTAGAATAGAGAACCCAGAAATCATCCCTCAGGCTTATAGCCATCTGATATTGGACAAAGGCAACAGAAACATATATTGGGGAAAAGACTGCCTCTTCAATAAGTAGTGCTGGGAAAATTGGATATCCATATGCAGAAGAATGAAACTAGACATGTACCTTTCCCCACATACTAAAATCAACTCAAAGTGGATTAAAGACCTATGTATAAGACCTAAACTGTAAAATTACTAAGGGAAAATATAAGTGAAACACTTCAGGAACTAGGTCTAGGCACAGACTTTATAAACATGAGACTGAAAGCACAAGCAACAAAAGAAAAAATAAACAAATGGGATTATATCAAATTAAAAAGCTTCTGCACAGCAAAGGAAACAATAAACAGAGTAAAATGACAACATACAGAGTGGGAGAAAGTTTTTGCTAACTATGCATCTGACAAAGGATTATATCCATAATATACAAGGAACTCAAGCAACACAGTAAGAAAACAAATAACTCAATTAAAAAATGGACAAAGGAACTGAATAGACATTTATCAAAGGAAGACATACAAACGGACAACACGTACATGATAAAATGTTCAACATCACTAGTCATCAGGTAAATGCAAATTAAAATCACACTGAGATAACATCTCACCCCAGTTAGACTGGCTATAATCAAAAAGAGAATAACAAATGTTGGTGAGGATGTGGAGAGAAGGGAATGCTTCTACACTGTTAGTGGGACTGTAAATTAGTACGACCACTATGGAAAACAGTATGAAGGTTTCTCAAACAACTACAGATAGATCTTCCATATGATCCAGCAATCCCACTTCTGGGAATATACCCCAAAGAATGGAAATCATCATGTTGAAGGGATACCTGCATTCCTATGTTCATCGCAGCTCTGTTCAATAGCCAAGATATGGAACCAACCTAAATGTCCATTGATGGATGATTGGATAAAGAAAATGTGGTATATATACACCACGGAATACTACTCTGTCATAAAAAAGAATGAAATTCTCCCATTTGCAACAACATGGATGAGTTTGGAGAAACTTATGTTGAATGAAATAAGCAAAGCACCGAGGGATAAAGACCATATGTACTCACTCATAAGTGGGAGCAAAGAGAGAAAGAAGGAAAGAAAGACCACAATGGTGTGCTGGATTTGCAGAGGGAGAGAACATACCTAGGGATACAAAGTGGAATGGGGAAAGGGGGATGGGGAGGGTTGTCAGGGATAATTGGGGGGATAACTGGTTGTGGGACATGGGGTTTAATCACAATTTTTGGTAATGGACATGTTGCTAGTATGGATCTGGCCATCACATCTTAGGCACAAGTGGTGACAATCTGCTTTGTACCCCATGAATATTCATAACCAATAAAGAAAGAAAGAAAACTACTTATCAAAATCTCTTACGAATACGAATGTAAAAATCCTTAATAAAATACTAGTAAACTGAATTCAGCAATGTAAAAACAGAATTATATACCATGACCAAGTGGGATTTATCCCAGGAATGCAAGGTTGATTCGACATCTGAAAATCAACTAATATATCACATCATACAATAGAATAAAAAATAAAAATTGTATTATCATCTCAATCAACACAGAAAAAGCATTTGACAAACTCCAACACCCTTTCATAAGAAAAATACTCAATAAACTAGTAATATAAGGCAACTCCTCAACCTGATAAAGGGCATCTAAGAAAAACCGATAGCTATCACCTTACTTAATGGTGAAAGACCAGATGCTTTCCCCTAGGATCAGGTATAAGACAAAAATATCCACTACTTGTTGTCACTTCTATTCAACATTAGAGATTCTAGCCCTGGCAATTAGGCAAGAAAAAGAAATTAAAAGAATCCAAACTGGATTTCATTGTTTCCTAAGAAAAAAGCAAAACATTTATTCCAAATGATATTTAATAATATATAATTCAATTAGAAAAACAGCTTTGTGATATTCGTCAAATGTTACTTGAAGCTTATTTTGTTCTCTTATGACCATAAAGTCCTAACACCAAATAATTATCCATTAATCACTTAACATACTCACCAGAAAACTGTAACTTGGCCTATCAGTAAACTTAATGCAAGAAAGACTGCCAGCCCTGCCCCCACCCACAATCAGGCAAGCAATGGAGCTGCCTGGAGTCCTGAGAAGGGGGTGTGGGCCTTAGTCTCGCCCTTGCCTACAACCAGATCAATTTGGGGAAATTTGACATCTTTACAATACCGAATCTTCCAAACAATAAACAAGGCAGCTGGCTTGTGCGGGGATCTGAACCCTTGATCTTGGTGTTATCAGCACCTCACTCTGGCCAAGTGAGATAACCAGCCAGCCTCACTTTTTATTTTTATATAGCAAAACATGTTCTTTCTAGGGGGAGAAAGTAATGTTTTCCCTTGCTCAAAACCCTAGAAAGCCTCCCTACCTCTGGATATCAGATAAATATTTATTGATGTTTTCATATAATATTATTTGATTTGAATTTTTACTATTTTACATGTTAATATTTCTGGAATTTATACTGGTACATGATGTGGTATAAAGATAAATTTTATACCCCCCCCCCCCAAAAAAAAAGATTAGTAGTTACCATGGGCTGTGGGGAGGACAGAATGAGAAGTGAAGCTAATGAGTACAGGGTTTCTTTTGGGGATGACGAAAATATTCTCAAATTAGATAGTGGTAATGGCTGCACAACTCTGTGAAGATATTGAAAAGTACTAAATTGTAGACTTTAAAAGGCAGAATTTTATAGTATGTAAAGCATATCTCAATAAAGCTTATTATTTAATAAAAAGAAAATAAGCTATAAGACAGTTTGAAGGCAACTACAAATATCTGAATATGGACTGAATATTAGGCATTGAGAAATTTTCTTAGATGCTGTGATGGTATGTGGTTACAATGCAAAGTGTCCTGAGAGATGCATACTCAAAATATTAGGGGTGAAATATCACGGTGTCTGCAACTTATGCAGCATAAATATATACACGCACACATATACATAAAGAAAATATGGTAAAATCTTAATTGTTGAATCTAGGTTTTAGGTATTTATGTAACCAATGTACCATTTGTCTGCTTTTCTGAATATGTTTGAAATTTTTCAAAATAAAGTAGGGAAAACTGTATCTTTTCACCCTACAATCCACTTCTTGGAATTAATCCCAAGGAAATAGTTTGAATTCACCCAATATTTTGTTTCAAGGATGGTCATTAAAGCATTCTTTGTAGTATCCCCAGGTTAGAAATAATCTCAATGTCTAATAAGGTGGTTGTTTAAATAAATTGGTACAACTGAACCTGGACTACAAGGAAAAAAAAGAAAGGAACAGAGGTACAAACAAAAATGAAACTGATACTGTGCATAGTGACTTTGTTGTAAAGTTTGAGAAACCCAAGCTGGGGAAAAACAGAAGGATTTTAGAAGGAATACAAAGCTCTTTAAAAAAATGTAAATCCTTTAAAATAAATTTATTTGTTAAGACAAATAAAAACCAAAAGTATCCATTTTCTATTTGATCTGTTCTAATATCTTCTAGGTCAGAGGTAAAAGTACAAAGTAAAAGATGAAAAAAAGATAAATTAATACCAAGAATTCTTTAAAAAAATATTTTAGGTTCAACAGACATAACTGTATAAGAAAAAATGTCATTGCTTTTTCTGGATGTGAAGATACACAATGGCAAGACGGACATAACAAAGTTCGAATTCAAGGCCTAGTACTTTTCTGTGTCCATTGTCATTCTCCTTTCTTTAGCAACAATCACACCACTGGCATATTAAAAGTATATCTATCTATATAGATAGATAGATGATAGATAGATAGATAGATAGATAGATAGATAGATAGATAGATAGATCTTATCTCTTCCCTTAGATTATAATCTCCTTCTGGTCTACTTTGGGTACTCAGTCTTCTCCCATAGCACTAAATTAGCCTCTGACTAGGAACCCAATAAATGTTTATATACTTTGAGGGAATATAAAGCTTTCAATTACCCGCATATAGATGGTCTATTTTGTATAGCACACATAGCAAGATAGAGAGGGTAAAGGAGCTTCTTACTTCCCACAACAAATATTGACCAAGCTCCTGAAATGTGTAAGAAATTATGTGAGGTATGTTGTATTGCTTGGGTTTGCTACCCACCTTAGGTGGCACACAGAGAAAACCAATCAAATTCAAGTAAGTCAAGGAAATCAATCTGCTGTTTAAGAAACATTGAAATGCATCCCAAGTCAGAGAGCTATAATGCTCCCAGAACATATGCTGCTTTGAATTATGTATGCCATCCCTTCTGGAACCATACCGGTAACTATCATTAACTTGTTTGACATTATGACATGTTAAAGAAATTATTTTTAGAAACTGATCAAAGAAGGCAACAGGAGTGAATATCTCCCTCTGCCCTACTAACCTGTACGACATTGCCTACAATGACACTGTCAACCATTTCCGGTGAGACTTTGCCAGCAGACAAGGCAGCCTTGGCAGCAAATTCATTCAAGTCGGTAGCAGTGAAGTCTTTTAGAAGACCTCCAAAAGCTCCAAAGGGCGTTCGCTTAGCAGCAACAATAAAAACACCTATTGCAATGAGGAGAGATTTGTAAGCAATCACAGATTAGTCAGTGTCCATAACATGCTTTAAATAATCTCACTAAGAAACATTATTGTAAAGTACAATTTTCAGTTAGATAACTGAAAATCTTTGTCATGTAAAAAATACACAGAATGGGTCACACCCACGAAAGCAGTGTTAAAAGTAATCAGTGCGATCATTACCTACATGCAAGTACCAAGAACGACACTGCATGCTACAATGTAAATCTATTCTGGTAGACATTTTGTCCTCTGGTGCTTTATAATACTAGAAACATTTGTTGAGAACTAAAATGCTTCTTCCTATATACTGGAGCATATTACCTAGTTTAAGAATCAAAGAATCTTCAAACCAGAAGGTCTCTTAAGGTTTTCTGAGTTCAACCACTCACCCTTTTAAGAACTCCCTCTAGAAAATTCCTGACAAGAAGTTCTCTCCATCCTCTGCTAGACTTTCAGTAAGAGAACACCTGGGAATACCAGGTGCTGTAGGCTTAAAAAAAAGCAGACACACTTTTGTTTATTTATTTTTTTTATTTTTTATTTTTTTTTCCCTTTTTGTCTTTTTTTTTCGTGACCGGCAACGGATCGCAACCCTCAGTGTCGCGCCCGTACCGGACCGGGACCGGCCACGGGATCGCAACCCTCGGTGTTGCTCCCGCACCTCGCTCAGCCAGTGAGTGGCCGGTCTGTATGTGGGATCCAAACCCTCGGCGGGAGCGCCGCCGCGCTTCCCAAGTGGCGCACTGTAGCAGTGCGCCACCGGGCCAGCCCAGCAGACACACTTTTAGTAAGAAGACATACTCTACTGTGTGAAGCAGCATGTCCATGAATGGACAACATAAACTAATGATTTTTCTTCATACTGTGTTGATTTGGCTTACTAAGTCTTCCATCCACCAATCCTAGTTCTATCCAAATACACCTCAAGACATAGATATGTAGTTTCTAGAATATATGCTGCTGTGAATTATGTATGCCATTGCTTCTGAAGTCACAGGATGACTCAAATTACAAATAACTTGAACTGTTATCTTTTACTATTATCTTTTACCCTTACAATAAAATAGGCAAAATAGGTCACATTTTACATGTGTAGCCCCTCTAGCATCTGCAGTCAGATAACCTGCAAAATTCTCCAGACCTAACGACTCTTTTCCCAGGTAAATAAAAAGCATTCTTTCAATAGTTCTTTTTTTGACATTAATTCTGATTGCTTTCCTCTAAAGACACTCTAGTTTGCTAACGTCCTATTACAATGTGTCACTTAGAATAAAAACAAAAAATTCTGAATTTTATCTAACAACAAAGAATACAGGGGAATTATCTATACATCTAGTGAGGAAGAATGTGGGAAGAAAGAACACCACAGAGGGCAAGTCCACATTTTTCACATAAATTCTGCCTAAATATCTGGCTGACCCCTTAATCATGCATGTGTGGGTCAGACGACAGACTAAAAAAATTGAATTTAGATTTTAACTGCTGCTTACTACTGGGGGAGACATGGTTTCTTGTTTGAGGTCAGCCAACCAATCAATAACGCAATACTCTTTGGAGGAACATAACAGAATTCAATCTCTACAATGTTTTATCCACAATGTCCATGACTGTATTAGTCTGTTTCTGTTGCTTATAACAAAATAGTTGGAACTGGGTAATTTATAAAGAAAACTAAAGTTATTGCTTACAGTTTCTGAGGCTGGGAAGTCCGAAGTCCAGGGAACACACCTGGTGAGGGCCTTGGTGGTAGTTTTACAGCAATGCAGGGGTCTCACATGGCAGAAAACGGTGGGGCAGAGAGAGAGACCAACCTCTTCATTCATTCTCCTTTGAAAGCCCTCAGAACCATACCCCTGACCACCATTATTAATCCATTCACTACTGCATGGTGCTATAATCTCATTACCTCTTCAAGGTCCCACCTTTCAATTACCATAATAGGATTTCCTACCTTCAACAGTTAAGCCTCAGTGAGGTTGGGGGAGGCATCCAATTTACAGCAATGATACAATTCAAAATTAACCCACGTATGAAGAAACAAGAAAATATGACTCATTTTCAAGAAAAAAGACAATCAACAGAAATCATCCCTAAGAAGAGCCAGACACTAGAATTAGCAGACAAGGATCTTAAAACAGCTATCTATTTTAACTATGTTCAAGGATGTGAAGGAAAATATGTTCATAATAAAAACACATCTCAGCAAAGAAATAGAAACTATTAAAAAAACCCCAAAATGAAAATTCTAAAACTTAAAAATATATGAAGTAAAAGAATCACTGTATAGGTGCTGTAGTTTGGATGCACCGCAAACCTCACTGAAGCTCAAATCCCCACTCTAACAGTTGAGGGTGGGAAATCCTATATGGTAATTGAAAGGTGAGGCCTAGAAGAGGTGATTGGATTGCAGGACCATGCTGTAGAGAATGGGTTAATAATGGTGGTCGGGGATGCAGTTCTGAGGGCTTTAAAAGGAGAGTGCATGAGGAACTCTCTCTCTCTCTGCTCTGCCATTTTCTGCCATGTGAGACCCCTGCACTGCTGTAAAAGCCACCACCAAGACCCTCACAAAACGTGTTCCCTGGACTTTGGACTTCCCAACCTCTGAAACTGTAAGCAATAAATTTTGTTTTCTTTATAAGTCACCCAGTTCAGGTATTTCTGTTATAAGTGGAAACAGAGAGAGAGAGAGAAAATATGTGTGCCTCTGAGGGGGGCTGGCAGCTGGCCAGTACAGGGTATCTGAACCCTTGACCTTGGTGTTACAACACCACTCTCTAAGCAACCGAGCTAACCGTACCAGCCCCCAAAAATTCATTTAAAACACCTAACCTACCAAACAACATAGCTTAGCCTAGCCCACTTTAAATGCGCTCAGAAAACATATATTAGCCTACAACTGGGCAAAATCTTGTAATAGAAAGAGTATTTAAGTGTTGAATATTTCATGTAAAACATTTTTTCAGAGGGGCCTGACTTACAAAAAAGAGGGGAACAAACTGATAAAATATTAAAATGAGAAATCAATAAAAATTTTATTTTCTTTTAAAAAAGATAGTACATTACAATGCAGCTGTTAAATGAACTGGGTTTTCTGAATGCCTCATTTTAGACTAAAGTTTCCTTCCCATTTACCCACCACAACCAATCTATCAACCACGTTCTATCAAATCCATCTCCAAATCTATCTCAAATCATCCCTCCGCTTTTCATCCCCCAACTCCATTACCCCCATAGGAGTCAAAGCCATCACTTGCTGGACCTCTGCAGTAAATCCTTAAATAGTATCCTCACTGCTACATAGGCAGCCTCATAGCCGTGAGGAAATCTTGGCAGAATGGAAGTCAGATCCCATCACTCCCCTGCTTTAATTCCCTGTATTGCTTTCCACTGAATTTAGAATAAAACCCCACCTTCTCCACAGAACCCTGGACCAACAAGATGCTTGGTTCTTAGACACCGCCAAGATTTTCCTGTCTCAGGGCTTGACACGTGTTCTTCTTCCTGAATGTTCTTCAACAGGCACGAATTCTTAAAATTCCACTATGACCATTTGCTATAGAAAGGGAGTCTATATAATTTTTAGAAAGAAGTTAATTACCCGGGTGCTTATGTACTGAATGACCACACTTTCCTGCAGTCGCTCAAACTAAAGGAATGGAAGGGAGAAGGGAGTAAGGCAGGTTTTCAAACAGACCACCGCGAAGCGTGTTGGCGCATGAAGCCACTCGGGTGGAAATTCCCTGGGGACCGCCGGGGAACATCAATTCCTCCCCCAAGCCCTGCCCACCGAGACCGAGAGCGAGGCGGCCAGGTTCCTGTGCGCAACTGCTCTGCACCAGGCCTCCTGGCGCCGCCCCGTTTTCCCTAATAGTTCAGCTCGAACTAGTGGGTCACTAGTACGCCGAGAAGGGAATGACCTCCAAGGTCAGGAACAAACAGACCTTGGTCTCAACTCTCAACTGGAAATTGCACCGAGATCGTTGTCGCCGGCGCCTTACAAGTAAGTGTTTTCTTAACCCAAACAAGCCTTACAGGTTGGGTTTTTATGAAGTCCTCTCCTGAGCCGATGAAACTAACGGGACTTCCCACGATCCCGACTCTCCGCCGAGCCCGGAAGCGGAGGCCTCGCCTGGGAAGGGCAAGACTGCGAGGGGAGAGGCGAGGAAGAGGGGCGAGCTCACCTCGGAGCAGGGCCATAGCGGCGGCTTGGTCCTCGGCGCCGTAGGCCCGTCCAGTCTCGGCCACTGAGGGGCCTCCGCCAACCACCCGGACTTTAAGGGCGTGGGCGGTGCCCCTGGAGGCCACGCCCCTCGACCGCCACCACTTCCCGCAGGTCCCGCCCCGCCCCGCCCCCGGCCGCCGGACACCTCCGGCCGGCAGGTGTCTCACTCTCCACGTGTCGCTGCCCTCTTCGTGCCATCTCGGGGAACCAAAGGTATCCCAGGCTCCTGGGAGACGGGCCTGGGGGAAGAGGAAAGCGAGCCTTGCGAGCGGGCTTTTCCCTCACACCATAGTTTTTACAGACTTTCCTTCTCTGTTTCCAAATCGAGTTTGGTTTGACACCCTCCCACCATCCTATCCTTGGCCTCTGCAACTCCCCTCCCCCCGCAAATGCTTCATGTTCTCCTTCATCCCCGCCTACGGATGTTGTAGAAAATATACTAGGCGACAGGACACCAAACACAAAGTCCAGCAGGGACTTGAAGGATGTGGGGCGCCGGCAGCCGCGGGCTGGAGGCGGGGCAGGAAGTTCAGTGGGCGGGGCCGGCGACGGCGCGTCCGGATTGGCTGGGGCCGGCGGCTGCGCAGACCGTTGGGAGTGGCCGGGCAGTTTAGCTGGATGCAGGAGCGGGTTCCGGGTGCTGATTGCGGCTTGGGGAGGTGGGTGCTGGAGGGTGTGCAGCGAGTGTGGTAGGGGTAGGGCGCTCCGGGTCCTCGATGCAGCTCCCAAATGAGCCCGCAGTATTTTCCTTATATGATCAGGCCGCGTTGCTGGCGGCGCTGAGAGGATTATGAAAACGTGGCAGGCGAAGTGGGGCAGGGGACCGGGCGCGGGGGAGTTTAGGTGCGAGGGGCAGCGGGGAAGGCTAGACTGAGGGAGGTTTAGGGAGTCCTCTGCCGCTGTAACTGTGAGCCCTGGCCGGTGATGACGTGACCACTGCGCAATCTGAGTTCTGGGAACCAGGTGATGGAGTGAGTTCTGAGAACGGACTGAGGCCTGGCGAGCAGGAGGCGGCCTGGGCAGAGGAGATGCCTAGAGATCCTCCGGCAGTGCTAGGGCTCTGAACTGGCCGGGCTGCCTGAGGCTTGGTTCGAGTGCGTGGGGACGTGTGGTTGGTGGCATTGGTGTTTTTCCCGAGTCGTCAGCGAATGCCTGCCCTAGAGTCTTGCTTTTCAAACCCTTTGGTAGAACTCTCGCAGTGTTTTGTGTTTTTGTTGTTTTGGTTTTTTTTTAATCCAACTTTTTATCATGGAAACATTCAAACATGGATGTGAAAAAGTGGAAAGACTTGTATAGTGAACACTCATATCCACCACCTGTATTCTATAATTGTTAACATTTGGCCTTATTTGCTGTATCGGCAGCTATGCACCTGTTATTCCATCAAACCATCCTTTTTTTTTTTTTCCTTTTTTTCTTTTTTCGTGTCCGGCAACGGATTGCAACCCTCAGTGTCACGCCCGTACTGGACCGGGACCGGCAACGGGATCGCAACCCTCGGTGTTGCACCTGCACCTCGCTCAGCCAGTGAGCGGGAACTGGTCTGCATGTGGGATCTGAACCCTCGGCGGGAGCACCGCCGTGCTCTGAAGCGGCACACTGTGACAGTGCGCCACCGGGCTGGCCCAAACCATCCTTTTTTTTAAAATACAGACCTTAGTACACTTCAGCCAATGAACACTTGAGCACGCAATAGAGTTGAAAATTTAATATTTACAGTTCTTTTTAAGGCAAAATTTCCATGCAGTCATATGTACAAATCTTAAATCGGATGAACTTCACAAATGGGTGCTCTTGTACTTACTCTTCTTTTTTTTTTTTTTTCTTTTTTTTTGTCTTTTTTCGTGTCCGGCAATGGATCGCAACCCTCAGTGTCACACCCGCACCGGACCGGGACTGGCAACGGGATCGCAACCCTCGGTGTTGCGCCTGCACCTCGCTCAGCCAGTGAGCGGGAACCGGTCTGTATGTGGGATCCGAACCCTCGCCGCGCTCCCAAGCGGCGCACTGTAGCAGTGCGCCACCAGGCCGGCCCTTGTACTTACTCTTCTGTTCATTTTTGCCCTCCACATATTTAAGAAAAGTTAAGTTTTACAATTTCTCCCTCAATACCCTGCAAATCACCATCAGAAAGTTCCTCCAAATTTACTAAGTTTTCTCTAATTAGACATGTCTCTAATGAGTGCATCCTAAAACCATTGAGTGAAAGGTTTACATGTATTAAGACATGTAAGTATATGTAAGAATATTTACATAGTCTCAAAGTATCATGAAGAGGAAAAGGTACTTTTACAATGGAGAAATCTTGTGGGTATTACCTTAATCAAATGATCAAGCTTAACATCACCAGCAGTGGGACCAACTGACATCATGCACCCCCATGCTGCGTTAAGGACACTACCTCCCTTATGTAGGATTTCTCCTGAAAATTTCAGACCTGAATCTAATCATAAGGAAACAATAAGAGAAATCCAAATTGAGGGACATTCTGCAAAACAACAGTCCTGAACTCTTCAAAAACGTCAATGTCATGGAAAATAAAAAAGGCTGGGAATGGTATCAGATTAAAGGAGACTAAGATGTGAGAGTTAAATGTAATGTGGATCCTTAATTGGAGAATGAGTTTAAAAATCAAAAAACTCTGGGCCGGCCTGTGGCTCACTCGGGAGAGTGCGGTGCTGATAACACCAAGGCCACGGGTTCGGATCCCATATAGGGATGGCCGGTTGCTCACTGGGTAAGCGTGGTGCTGACACCACCAAGTCAAGGGTTAAGATCCCCTTACCGGTCATCTTTTAAAAAAATAAATAAAAAAACTCTGAAGGACAATATTGGGACAATTGGGGAAACTTAAATATAAATTACATATGAGATAGTGGTATTGACATTTTCCTGATTATGATAATTATAATTATGTAGGAGACTGTCCTTTGTTCTTAGGGGATACACATTGAAATATTTAGGGGTGAAGAATCATGTCTGCAACTAACTTTCTCAAATCACTCTTAAAAAAAATATATACACTGGCAGAGAAAAAAAGAAAGCAATTATGGCAAAATTAAATATAAATGAAGAGTAAATGGTTGTTCCTTGTTCTATTTTTACAATTTTCTGTTTTAACTTTTTCAAAATAAAAGTTGGGAGGAAAAGCATCCTTCAAGTAAGCTACAGAATTACTTGAAACAAATTATTCTCTAAAGTATTTAGTTCTTTTCATGTTTACATAATTACTTAAGGAGGTATGTATTGTACAATACTAAATATATATATCAGAATTAGTTATAATTTTGTGGCCTAGACATGGAAACTTGTATGAGATGTAAAGTTACCGATCTACTCTTAGATATTTAGCTTTCAGTATTTTTAGAAGTGCAATAGGGGGAGGAAGCAGAATGGAGTAGTGTGAACATAAAACTGGAAATTAGTGAATCTGTTAATTTGTAAATTCTAGTGTTAAGATTATATCAGGATTTCAGAAATATCCAGCCTCAGCTATATATCCCATATTTTCAGGGTCATTTTCCTATGTTTAAACACTAGTTTCCCCTGCTGTCTTAGTCTGTTTCTGTTGCTAATAACAGAAATACTGGAAACTGGTTAAGTTGTAATGAAACAATTTTTATTGCTTACAGTTTGGGAAGCTGGGAAGACCAAAGTCCAAGGAACATTTCTAGTGAGAGCCTTCTCCTGGCGGTGACTCTACATAGCAACGCAGGGTGTCACATGGTGGAGATGGCAGGAGCAGAAGGAGATCTTTTCACGCATCAGAACCACACCATCGACCATCATTAAACCATTAAATGGATTATTCTATTCACTGTGGCATGGATGTCACAATCTAATCACCTCTTCAAAATCCCACCTTTCAATACCATAATTACTGTAAGTCTTGGGGTGTTTCCACTAGCCTTAAGACATTGTCTCAAACTTGGGTGAAAGATAAATGTTTTTTCTTCTGCTTGAGTTATTTCCAGTTTCTATAATCCTTAGTAAGCCTTAGTTACAACTTCATTTAATAATATAACATTAGGCAAATCCTCCTTGGGTTTCGGTTTACTCTGCAAAATACTACATTGGGCTGGCTGGTTAGCTCAGTTGATTAGAGCACAGCCTTATAACAACACAGTACTATGTTGGTGGAAGGAGGCAACACTGTTCACGGTCTTTAGCCAAAATATCACCAGAAACACACCTATATTGAGCAAGTTGGGTTTAACGTTCGTTGCAATAAGGGAGATTGCACACCATGGGTGTACCTTAGGGAATCGTGGGGCATCTCAATAAGAGTGTGTTACCATCTGGGCTTTGGTTAGGTGATTTGGGGAGGGTCCAAAGCAGCAAGGGTTCACTCTGGATTGGGTGCTGTCAGGAAGGTGGGACAAGTCTTGGACTGGGTACCTTAATATAATCTTACCTTGAAAGAGGGCAGTCTAGAGCTAGGCTAAAGCTGCAACTGGTAAAGAAGTTACAGCCCCTCATGTTAGCTGGGAGATGGGATGTTTGGTATTGTGTGGTTTACACATTGATCTTGTTTTTATCTGTGTCTACAGGGCTTGTTTTGTCTCTTTTCACAGAGTGACCTTTTCTGATGTTGGTGTAAGATTGTTTATGTGCAAAAGAACAACATGCCTGGCAGGGAGTGCCAGGACAGCTTCTAACTCAACCCAGGCCTAACTCTAGGTATCTGACCAGGTCTTGGAGGTCGTGCTGCTTTTCTCTTTTTCACCTGCTGTTTGGCAATTGTATCATATGAAATTTGGCTCTTTCCAGTCATAGTTTTCCTGTTGAGGCTTTGAAGACAGGACTAGACCTGAGTACAAGGTGAGGGATTTTGGAAGTGAGGGTTTTCTTCAGTCAGCCACTAAGAGGTGAATCTATCCTTAGGTTGGAAGTTGGGTTCAAGAGGCAATTTTTTGCTAAATGGTATATTGTGAAAATTTTTCTGTATCATGAATATTTCATCAGTGGTTCCTAATGATGGGTGTTTAAGGGCACTATCCCTGGAGATGTCTCTTCTATAAATTTGGGCTGGACTAGT